AACAGATCATAGCTAAACTGTGAAAAATAAAAATTGGAGATAATTGGAATATCAAGAGTAGGTGAAGGTGTTTTATGGGTTAAGAAAGTGTAGGAGTGGGGGCGTGGCTTGGAGGTCCGAGAAGATGGCAGCCTAATTCACTAGCTCCCCGCAGGCTCATCACACAACCTCACCGACCGCACAATATAACACCCGAAATGGGGAAAACGCACCGCACATCGAGTGCCCAAAGGACCGCGGACACCCCAAAAAGCACCCGGAATCCCTCCATGAGAAACTTTCTGGTGACGCAGGCCTCAAGTGACTCCGCGGCCTCCAGCATGTCCCGCCCGCGATCACCGCAGGGGGACCAACCACCTACCATCCCTCAGGCATCCTCACCGGACCTGGTATCCATCCTGAAGCAATTACCCACAAGGGCAGATCTGAGGGCGGCGAAAACGGAGCTGCGTACCTCCATAACAGCCGAACTGCACGCATTGAGGGAGGAGATACAGGGCCTCAGCCAGAAAGTAGTACAACTTGAAGCAGACTGGGATCACATGTCTGCCGCCCAGTCAGCGAACACAGACAGGCTACACCATCACAATAAAGTGCTACAGCAAATGGCACTACATGTGGAGGATTTAGATAACAGAGGCAGGAGGCAGAATATCCGTGTAAGGGGAGTGCCTGAAGAACTGGACAAGAGAACACCAATCTCAGACACACTTATGGACTTATTCAACAAATTACTGGTCCGGCCACTTCAGACACCCATAGGCTTCGTGCGAGCACACCGAGCGCTGAGGCATCAGGGACCCCCGGAGGGCCCTGCCCGGGACATAATATGCTGCCTGGAGAGCTTTCCCCTGAAGGAGGAGATCCTCCGCAAGGCCAGAGGCACAGATAAAATATTGGTGGAAGGCGCGGAGGTCCAGCTGTTCCCAGATCTCTCCCCGGCTACGCTGACATACAGGAGAGCGATGAGGCCCCTTACAAGACAACTGCAGGCAGCCAACATCAGGTACCGCTGGTGCTTCCCTACGGGCCTACAAGTGGCAACGCCCGGCGGCCCCTTTATGGTTGCAGGGGAAGAAGACGTCCTGGCGCTCCAGAGAGACCTACACCTACCGCCGGAGACCATCACATGGCCGAACCCATTAAGCTTCTACGCCTCTGGCCCCAGGCAGCAAGGCACAGGCCCCCGACCCCAAAGGATAAGAACCCCTCGCACTCAGACGATTAGACCGGCAGGGACGCCTAACTGAGGACCGTGGATCCCTCCCCGCTTCGGCCTCCTTTACTGCAGAAGACAGGAATGCCGACTTCAGCGACAAGACAGAAGCTCTGAATATTTAGACTTTTCCCTTTTTTTTTTTCTCTCTCTCTCTCTCTCTCCCCTTACACCCACCACTCCCGAACAATACAGGCATATCAGCCCCGGAACTGTGGGAACAACGATGAACCCCGGGCGCAATGCCTAGATGTGGACTCCATCTTGCCCCTTCATACAGCAAGTATTGATGGAATTTGGGGGCTGGAGGGATGGGGTGTAGTCGAGAGATGTTGGGACACAGGCCATACGAGAGGCTCTGACTCCTAGGGGCAGGGGGGGGGAGGGGTTACACCGCACACGACTGATACAGTTTAATGTTTGCGTTGTCCAACAGCTGCGTAAGCGTTAACGCAAATGTGTATTATAGCCAACTATGAAACTCCCCCTTTTTTTTTTTATTTTTTTTTTTTACCACCACAATATTTGATACGGTTCAAATGTTTGTTGAAAAGCTTTCCCGAGTCAGAGGGGATGGGGGAGGTCGCGAGGGGGGGGGGAGACAGGTCAATAACCGACCTGCACAGAGTGGATACATGAGGGTAATGTTGTACCATGTTTATGTTATGGTTTTCACATATGTTTAAGCTAACGATGTTGTTCTTAGGTGAGGTTAAAACTTGAGCTACAATTTAGATAGACTGAGCCGTCAGCCGGGGAGACGGAAGATCCTGACTGAGTAGAGTCCCGAGAGATCACAGTGGTCAGCGACGACCGATCTGCGAGCGCACTTGGGAATTCTTGGACTCCCTTGACCACCCTACCGGACTAGGCGACAAGATATAGGTGAGCGGTACTCCCCTTGTCCCCAGGTGGGCGGGAGAACTACTGCCCTCCGTCGCTCATATCCGATATCGCTACACGTAGCGACTCCTTACCGAAACAGGGAATGGGCTTCACAGCCCGTAAATTTCCCTCCACTGGTTACCCCACGCTTCCCTACCCCCCCCCAACCTAACCCTCGACTGCTTGACAGACGCAACAGATTACACACACATTTGACAAAACGATGCCGCCCAAGTCAATTGCCCCAGCTCCCATCACGGTCCTTTCTCTCAACGCTAGGGGCCTAAACAAACCTGAAAAACGATCGGGAGCCATGAGAGAATTCCTAACCCATAAAGCATCCATAGTGTATCTACAGGAGACACACTTCAGAGAAGGGTCCAGGCCCACACTGACAAACCAACACTACCCAGTGGGGTACTACAGTGATTTTCAGGGGGGGAAGTCCAGGGGCACAGCGATTCTCCTCCACAAACGCATCCCGTTTAAAGAGACAGGAGTGCTGACTGACCCGGAAGGACGTTATACCTTCGTTAAGGGGGAGATAGCGGGCACACAATACACTCTCGCTAACATTTATGTCCCAAATCAAAGGCAGTATCAATTCATAGCCCGGATGCTTCGCACCCTTAGGAGCTTCAAAGCGGGCGTGTTGATTTTGGGGGGAGACCTGTATATAGCTCTGGACCCTAAATGGGACTCCTCACTGGGACACTCACACATCCCCGCACAACACCTTCAGGCAATTAGGAACTTACTGACAAAAGAAAAAATGGTGGACTGCTGGAGGGCAATGCACCCTGACGAGAGGGATTATACCTTCTACTCTCACCCACATAACTCCTACACTCGAATTGACTATCTCTTTCTGTCACAATACCACCTACCACTGGTGCTTCACGCCAATCAGGGCACTGCGACATGGTCAGACCATGCGCCGGTGCTCATCACACTGAAATCACCCCTATTCAAACCCAAGATCTCCAAATGGAGATTAAACGAAGCCCTACTGGCAAGGCCAGAAGTGACAACAGAGATAGATGCAACACTAAAAGAATACTTTACAAACAACAGTGATCAGACCTCCCCCACCATACGATGGGAAGCACACAAAAGCGTAATTAGAGGACATTTTATTCAAAAGAGCGCGCACTTGAAAAAACAAAGGGAAGCGCGTATGACCACATTACTGTCAGACATACAACAACTAGACGCCCTCAACAAGAGACTCCAACTACCCACACACCGAGCTACGCTCCTCTGCTTAAGGAGGGAACTGACTACACTTTTACAGTCTCAACACCATAGAGATGTATTGCGCCATAAGGCATTCTTTGCCGTACATGGCAATAAGAGCGGGAAGCTTCTGGCGCGCATGCTTAACAAAAAAAGACAAGACACAT